CTTTTTTAAAAATTGAAAATGGGCGTGGCGTCGCCCACTTATGGACCAAAAAGCCGTATCTCAGGAAGTACTCGACCGATTTCAATGAAATTCGGTATATAATATTTTCTTAACACCCTGATGACATGTACCAAATATGGATGAATCTCGATTATCACTTTATCATGCGAGAGTATAAAATGTTCGGTGACACCCGAACTTAGCCCTTCCTTACTTGTTTTTATTTAAAATTTCTTGACCATCGGCTTGTGAAGGCTTGCTATTTATTATTAGCTTTTTCTGTGTTAACAATTTCTTTTTATTATCGGCTTATTAAGGACAGAGACTCGACACCTAGGGATGGCAAACATTTTTTTTAATCGATTTAATAATCAAATGATTAATTGCAAGATATAAAAAAAATAAATTTTTTAAAATCGATTAATTGATTAATTTCAATGTTTCAAATAATACTAAATTGCATAAAGACCACCACCAAGTTTCAGCGCCGAATCTTGTATTATAATGCTTTATCACACAGTCCCAGACATATCCTAAAAGAGAAAATGGCCTAGTATATTTGAAGTTAAGTAGCACAATAACATTAAATTTTTCAAACTGCGTACAGCAATCTTAAAGTAAAAGAATTGCCTCTTGCTTGAAAGACTATGTTTTGCAACTTTGCGTAAAAATAAAACCAATAAAATATAGGAGATATATTCTTATTTCAGACTTTCAAATTATGTTGTTATATACACAAAAACAAAAACGGAAATAAAATTAAAATATCGTGTAACAAATTCATTTGTCTTAGCATAAATGAAAATATATTCATTGAAGTCAAGAAAATTTATTCTCTGTTCAATCGAGTTTGAAGAAAAAGCAATTTCGATAAATGTTTTGTTGTCAAACGATTGCGTTTTTCGGTCGCAGTTGCACCCGCTTTTGAGAAAAGCCGCTCAGCTGGTACTGAGGTACCAAGTAGATGACAATACTTTTTTGAAAGTCCGTACAGTTTTGGGACAACGGTTTTCATTTCTTCCCAATCATCAATAGTGTTTCGACTTAGTTCGAATACCTGACAATTCAAATAAAATCTCAATTCATCTTGTGGAGATGTAAAATCGTTATCCTTCCTCCTTCTTTTGTGCACTAGAGTTTTGTGAGGAGCCCAGAGGTCAAACTCATTCTCTACCGATTCCACAGTATCATCTGCAACTGTTATTTCTGCGGACAACGCTAATGGATCTTTGAAATGAATTTCTTTGAATCTCGGGTCGAGTAATGTTGATGCAGCTAGCAAAAGGGAATGTTCGATGTAGCCCGATGCAGCGATCAACTTATTTAACACGGCATCTTTCAGTTCTTCAGCGCCTGGCGGTTTAGCTGCTATGCTCACTATTTGTTCCCGACCACAGTGAACTAATGGAATCACTTGACTTAACCGTGCTCGTTGTTCACCACTTAGTAGTACAGTCATGGCCTCTAATGGTCTCAATATACTGAGTATTTCCATATCATCTTTTTCCTTAGACGTGATCATTACCAGCTCGTCAGAATAGTTGAGGAGTATTTGGTTAATAATATATATGAACATAGTTTAATGAAACGTTCAAGCATGTAGTAGGTCGAATTCCAACGTGTTTGTCCAACGTCCAAAATTGTCTTTAGCATTTTGCGTTGAGCTAGCGGCAGCAGCTTGCATATTGATAATGATGTACTTCTTTTACGATGTTTGCACCATTGTCGGTCACTACAACCATTACTTGTTTTTCGTCAATAGAAAAGTCTATTGAAAGCAGCAATGAGAACTTCGGAAATATGTGATGCAGTATGGTCTTCGGTTAATTTATAAATGCTAATTGTCCCAATAAATTGCTTCGTCCCATTTACACCATGAGTGGTCACATCAAGCATGCTATTCATTTCTACATCAGTCCAGATATCTGTCGTTAAACTCAAATATGAAAAAGGTTTTAGCATCGCTACACTTTTTGCTTTTTCTTCATCGTACATTTTTTCAATGTGAGCCTTGATGGTATTTCTTGTTGGGACTTTGTAAAGAGGAAAATGATGCTTCATGAAACTTAAGAAGCCTTTAAAAAACAAATGAACAAAAAGCGTCATTAATTATCAATTTGTTATGTAATGTCTTTTAATATACCTTCAACAAACTCAAAAGTTAGATTATCCTTGATAACCATTTCCACTATTCCATGCTGTAGCTTTTGGTTCTTTGAACCATGAAGCGAGAAGTTTTCAATATTTGAAATACTTTAAAAATGAGGGGTTGAGGGTTTTTACTGCTACAGCTGGGTAGCTCTCTCATGCTGCCTTCATTCGGTTTCTTACTGCTGAAGCTTGGCCCCTCACTTAAAGGGCTTTCATTAATTGGTTTGCTCCTGCAACTCGGCATTTCAATCAATTTACTCCTAGATTGCAGAGTCTAATTTGTACACATATATTTATATATAACTAGAAGAAATTTAAAATGTAATACCGATTGCTCCAACTTACCACCAATTTGCAGCCTACAGTTGCATGCGTTAATTTTAAATGCTGCAACATATTTGAATAAAATCAATATTATGAAGTATATTTCATCTTGAAATGTTGTATGAAACTTATCAATCATCAAAAAGATTCTCTAAACCACAAAGAAAATATTTATATTACTACACACATACATGCATACATAATCCGCACAAAGCTTATTTTCTTTGTTTATTCTCTCTTGCTCTTCTAATATGGATCATTCACAATGCGTAACTATTTGTCAGAGTTACTTGAAGAAATAATGTATTTTTTTTTTCTTGAGCAATTACTTGAGAGCTGGATACCAACCTTTAACTGTAAATGCAGTGTTACCAGACATTCATTTGTTGATATTAAACTACGTTGACATATTAGAATTTAACTATGTTTACAACGTTTCCAGTACCCTTGTACGCTAACTTATGTAGATGAACATAAAATGTATTAAATCTCAAAATGCTGTTTGCGATTATTTCGCAATTACTCGAGTAATAGCCGAGTAATTAGAAAACGTGTTTCGATGTAATTAAAATTGAATGAAAATAATCGATTAATTTATTCAAATGATTAATCGTTGTTATCCCTATCCACACCTGCCTCTAATGTGACCAGAATGCTCTGTCAAAAACATGCCCTGAGGTCAATGTTTTTATATGAGAGGGACCTTGCAAGCGTACAATGAATGGCCGGCTTCGATTCTTGTTACTACTCATAATTAATTTGAAGCTTTTTACAGCTGCTTACCATAATCACAAATATAAGCAGAGCTTATGTAGATGCGATGAAAGCGACCCTTGCTGTTGGTAAGTCTAGGTGCGTCACAGTATCGCTTTGGGAACATAGTGATCCCTAACTTTAATTTTGAGTATGTATGATGGGAACTGGTTTTGTAACTAGTCCACTTTGCGCTTCGCTGTGCAGCGTTTGAGCATTTTGTGGCTTTGAACAACATGGTGTCTCTAGGCAATTTTTAAAATTGTGGAAGAGAATCCCAATCTCTTTTGCAGTTAAACCCGTGGTTCTTTTTGTGTAAGCACTTCTTTGGAGTGAGTTTGGATATCTGCTGTAATGAAGCATTGAATTGGGTCTTTTGTGACAGTATAAGCAATTAAATTAGCTTTTTGCAATTTTTAAGATTGTGTGCATGGGACAAGCTGTCTGTACAGAGAGATCTGGCAAAGCTGTCCCTTTCGTAGTTTGTCAAAAAAGTCTTGCGGTATTTTTTATTGAATTTTCAATTGTTCATAAAATTTTGCCCAGCTCTTGACCGATGCTACGGCTGCTACTATGCCGGCCACTTTCGACCAATTGAGCGATTTTATCGCAATTTTCAA